TCTGAGTTTTACAACGAAATAGAAAGCTTAAATAGGCCTAGGTAGGGTTAAACACGTCCCATAAACTCCTAATTACAGTCTAATACGAAAAGGAATAAAAAACTACCAAAACAATGAAATCCTAACTAAACAAGAAAAGGAAAATCTGCCTTTAACTCCAAGTAACCAAACAGCTTTGATGCCATCTTTGAGCCTCTCGATCATAGCCTTCCAAGTGGATTCGAACTCAACCAATTCCTTTCCTCTGTAGAAGAAAACTCCCTATTTCACCTCCAACTTGAAACAGCCCGAGATCATTCTCCAAACTCCAGATATAGGCCTTCAAAGTTGGTATCTCAACACAGTTTTCTGCCTTAGATATTTTCTGGCAGTTTTCCAGTTTTGAGGTAGCAACTTTGAGACTTTGGAAAACAACCTTAATGACTTCTTCTTGAGCAACCAAGCATACCAAGGTGTAGATAATCACCCCATGTTCAATACAAGCCATTAAACTTGAATTTCCATTGAGCCAATTGAGATAAACTTGCCTCCAAAATTGGCTACTTGAACACGGAAAATGACACTGACAGAAATGAATGTTCTTCAGGCAGCTTGAGCTTGCTTCTTCGTCAAGTAATTCCAACTTGTGGAGTGGCCTATTTGGGATCATATCAGTTGACGCCGCCATGATACTCATACCGACGTCAAAGGGGCAATTGATAGGGTATGAAGGTAAAGTATAATACTTGGAGAAGGTCTACAAGAAGAGTCCAAGAGAAGCCAAGACATAGGGGCAAAACACTAGAGACTTACATCATCAGAGGAAGAAGACAAGGTTAAGAGACAAGTTGGCACACCTGACATCAGCAAGGAAGAGGTCAGGGGGACACCCTCTGCCCCACCAGACACCTTCTGACCAGAAGTACAATGTACAGTGACAGAGAGTCTGAGGTGCATGGACCACACACATAACATCCAAACTTGTATAAATAGGAGTGTTCTCCTCATGAATGGCAATCTATATGACTCTTACTCTAACTTCTCTCTACTTTCTCTCTCTATATACTTCTTCTCTTTTCTCACTTCGGCTGAGGTGGGGCACCTACCCCCTAAAGTCATGTCTGACTCCCCAAACCCCTTGGACCCGAGCGACGCCCAGTCGCCCGGGCTCAAACATATTATTATCACCATGAACACCCTTAGGCCTCAACACAATTGAAAATAAAGCCACGAAAACCACCAACACTACAGCGAATAAATTAGTTATGATTAAGAATGTTCTCCTTTCTTTAATTCCCCTTGAACTGTTTGCTTTTGTTTGATAACATTGACGGCTAGGGCTGCAAATGAATCGAACTGCTCGCGAGCGGTTCGATGTTCGTTTTGAAAAAAACACGTTCGAAACTCGAATCGTTTTCTAACAAGCCGAGCTGGAGCTTAGCCTTCTACAGCTCCCGGAGCTCGTGAGCTAGCTCGACTCAATGGCTTGTTGAGCTCAACTCGTGAGCTTACTCGTTTAGGGCTCATGAGATGCATCAACTCTTAATATTGTGGCTAGAGAGCCAACTTGATTACCGACTTATGAGCGAATCAATCTATATGAGTTTGATTTTGATAATTTATAGGATTGTTAAATTATATATCTCACCCTATATGAAGTTTAACACATAGATTAATATCACCAAATATGTTTGATTTAATTTTAAAAGAAATTATATATCATAGATTGCTTCGATATTATGAAATAATATAATTTTCACTAGTTAAAATTTATTAACTAAATAATTTGATACCACAAAGTATAACATGCGATTAGTTAATATTGAACACTTAACTATTATTATTATTATTTTTCATCGTGATTAATCTAGTTAATTGCACTAGATACCACGTAAGTATTTGTTTTATTGCATACTAACCACTTAAGCTTTTTTTTAGTTTCAACTAAACCACATAAGTCGACTTCCGCTTGCACCGTTACATTTTCCATCCTTAAACTTAACAACAGATATCAAATTAAAATTTTCCGTACGAATTTACACAACGCCATTTTCCCTCACATTCTTCCATCTTCATTTCGGTATTACTAGCGCTCTCTTTAATTATCTTATGCCCTCCTTTATTGTTTTCGTAAAAAATTATAATTGTTTCATTTTTATTTTGGGTCTAATTGAATTAAACTTTGGCTTCTTTCCAGATAAAGTTAACTTTTTTAACTTATTATGTGGAATGTGAAATGCAATCCTTATTCTATTTTTCTCCGTTTATAATATGTTTTGCATAATTGGCACCTCACTATCTTTTCTTTCGGGGAAAAGTTTTTTCGTTGCCCCTCTTAAGATTGTTTAAATCATCTATTGTAAATGAATTTATACATGTTATTGTTGTATAAGTGTTGTAATGAATATTTGAGCTGAAAGAAGTTCCAACATAAAGAGTCTTTTTTTAGATGAGTTCTGCACACCTGAACTTCAGGTGACGATTAGATAAAAACCAAAGAAGCATATTTAGATTAAATATAAGGGATGCTTTAAACTGAATGAGTGGAGAAGAATTAAGAAACAGTCTTAAGTAGTAAAATCGAGCGACAAAAAGAGTAAGGTAATGGGGAAATTTCAAGTGAAGTTTTATCAAGTGAAGACTTCCATAGCGAAACTCAGTTTTTCGACAAAAGTTCGCAGCCGAAGCCTCCCATCTGCAACTCTATAAATAATTTTACAAGAGAATCAACAGCCTTAGAGCAAGAGAAGAATTTCAAAGGGCTATTGTGATCAGGTTTATTCAATCCTTCATTTTCATTATAAAAAAATTATTTTGTGGAGAGGAAGAAAGTGAAATAAAAATGATATGGTGTAAATTAAGGTGAAAAAATTCAATTTGATACCCACCGTTAAGTTAAGGACGGAAAATATAACGGTGCAACCGGAAGTTGACTTACGTGGTTTAGTTGCAACTAAAAAACTTAATTGGTTAGTATGCAACGAAACCAATACTTAGTGGTATCAGGTGCAATTAACCCGATATTAATCACATGTAGCATGCATTACATACAAAATGAATATGGAAAAAATGAGTCAAGATTTTATTAAGTAAGCTAGTTCGAACTCGCCTCGACTCGACTCGTTTATTAACGAGTCGAGCTAAAACTGGGTTAAAACTCGGCTCGAGTCGGCACCCATTTCCGGAAGTGGTACACCGGTTGCTCAAGTGGTTGACCACTTGGTGGAAGAGGTCGATCATTTTCTTGAAAAGTGGTAGACCAATTGGTGGAAGAGGTTTAACACTTGAAGGTAAGTGTGTCATCAGGTCGACCCATTTACGAAAGTGGTAGACCAGATGCTTAAGTGGTAGACCACTTGGTGGAAGAGGTCGGAAATTTTCTTAGAAAGTGGTGGACCAGTTAATGGAAGAGGTCGGCCGTTTTCTCTAAGTTACGGTGACTTGCAAGTCATCGTAGACATACCCATATTTTAATTATGAGTCATCTAGAGCCACTGATCCTCGTGATGGACTGCGAATTCCCTAGTGTAGACACCTCATTTTGTCCGGGTCAATTACTCAACTAAAAATTATAAGCTTAATCTTGAAATGGCCATTGTGAATCTAAAATATCAACGATTGTACAATTTATTCGAATTTGATTCCAGTAGATCTAATAGGATCGATTGGCTTCCAATCTCGGCTTTTTGCACAACACAAATCTACAAAATACATAAAGGAAAAACATGGGTTGAAATTCTACCATTTCAAATTTCGTGGTCTGAGAGTGATTATAAGAAGTCATTTTTGTCATTGCACCCAGTTCATGTTTATTTATTAAGAATGTTATCATTGAAGTTTGAACCTTGGTCACTTGAATGAAGTAAGAGCATTATAACCAACTAGGCTACATTTTATTTATTGTTATTTCTTTGATTAAACTCTAGGAATATGTTTGATGATGATGCTTCTATATTTATATTTTATCTTAAGTTATTTATATTTTATAGAAAGATATTAATTCCGAAATCGGAATTCAAGTAGTGTTGATTCAAACATTAATATTAAATTGTATGTGTTGTTTAGTTCAGACAAAAAATACAGAAGTGTAATCAAAACATGGACCTTTGTGACGAGTATAATAATTTTTTTTGTGACAAATCTACATAATATAATGATAAAATTGGAAAAATGAGAGTCTCATTTCAAATTTCATGGTTTGAGAGGATTCTAGGAAGCTCTTTTTCGTCATAGTACCCAATATATCTTTATATTATGTGTAGATTTGTGACAAAAAATTATTATATTTGTCACAAAGATCAATGTTTTGGCTACACATGTATTTTGTCTAAACTGAACCACACATACAATTTATCATTTAATGTTTGAATCAATGTTACTTGAGTTCCGATTTCACAATTATCACTTTCTATAAGATAAAATAATTTCAGGTATAATACCTTTCCTACTTGATTGAAGAAGCTCTTTCCATAAGATATATTCAATGTTTTAAGATTTTCTATTTCAAATTTCGTGAAGCAAGAGTGAAAGTAGGAGGAGTATTTTTGTCATCACAATTATTATCTACTTCATATGAAAAAGTATCAATATCAAGATTTAAACCATGGTCTATTCAAACAAAAACAATAATCACAACTAGTTACACTAAACAAATTTGTTTTATCTTCATAAATTGTAAACATGCACTAAGCGAAGATTTGAAAAGCAGAGGACTTTTCACGGTTAGCTAGCCTATTAAATCTTCTGAAAATAAAGTTTAATACGTGATTTATAATTTTTATAACCTATAAAATGACGGATAATCTTAAAATTGCAACACAAATTTCATTGCTTTAAATATTGCATATCAAACTGAAGTATTGAATATGCAAAAGCGATAGTAGAATTCTGTAAATTAATATGAATTTTCAGAACTAATACGATCAATAATATTTTGTACAAACTATAGGTGACTGGTTCTCTAAAATTTTAGGCTGGTTAACTGCTAAACGTTAAACTCTTGCTAATCGGGCATGAATGGACCCGACAATAATGAGACGATGTCAAGTTTAATCTGATGTTCATTTCGTCAGTTTTGGACCCGACAATAATAAGAAATAACCAAATTCACCACATCATCCCCAACCCTCTAAACTCGCAAACCATTGATTCACCACAAAATCCCACAAAAAAAACCCTCAAACGCCAGATTCAGACGAACACAACCATTATCCCCTAATCTCAAAGTCATAAATTCATATCCAAATCACCCACAAACGCCAGACCCCAATCCCAAACTTAGGACCATCAATCACAAATTCTCTAATCTAATTAGATCCACCACAGGTTAATCGAAATCAAAATCAGAGGAGTAGGGAGAAACCTCAGCCAGATCTGGCCTTTTTCCAAACCTGCGAAGATGGGGAAAAATGGGTCATCATTTAGCTAAACCAAAGAGAGTAGAATTAAAACCGAGAAATAACCTTCAACGCTTACCATTGTTTGTCCCTCGATCAAGTCACCCCCGACGACCTCTTTCCTTCTCCCTTCGTCCAAAACCAAAACCCAGAAAAATATTAGAGTCCCATTCTTCAACCAAAAAAACAAAAGAAAACTCACATGCAAGCCAGAACCTTATCTAGATCGTCATTTTCTCTGGTCAATCTGAGGAAATCTGAGTAGTTTCTTGTGTTCGGCGATTGAAGAGAAGAAGAGAGAGAGAGAGAAGAAGGATAGTATTTCGATTCCTTCGTTCTCCTTCGATCGAACCCAAAAAAAAATAGAAATCAAAACGAGAAGGTTAGATCCTTGAGCCACTCCAAAAATCCAGAAAATCGAACATGCAAGAACCCTCATCCGCCACTTACCGTCGATTTGGAGGCTGATTGACGCTCTGATGGCATTTTTTAGGCCGGGATCTAGCCTGATTCCGAGGTGGAATTAGAGACACAGGATTATCCTTGATCTGCCTCTTAGAAAGAAGAAGGAATTTAATCGATGGAGGAGAGTTTTGGATTTCAGAAGGAAGAAAGGGACGATATTTTCGGAGGTTACTTCCTCTTTCGTTCAAATCACAGAGAATATACGAGAGGGAGGGAGAGAAGGTTTGAGCGGCGCTTAGGGTAACTAGGGGATTAGGGTTTTACTAAGTTAGTCTGCTTATATGCCTCTAGCCTCCACGTAAATGGTTGGCCAATGGGTGATTTAAGTTTGTCCCGCCCATAGAACCAACCAGCACAACTTGCTTCACTCCAGCAGCCTTGGCTGTTTCACATTTCCAGTCAGTTAACCACAAATCGCAACACATTTGAAAAGAAGAGAAAATTTGACTAATACAGGGAGAAAAAAGACCAAATTCTCACCGGCATCAATTTGATTCTTCTGCCCTATCCAGTCAACCTAACATGATTACAAGGCAAAAAATCTCATTCCTAGTTCATCAAGAGTATAAGACACATTCATCATCACAATCAAGAATTAAGTTCTCACCTGTTCTGGAAAGCAACCTTCTTCGAAGTAGAACTCGGGCCTTTCACCTTTGGACGGATCAAACCCGGGTTTCATCTTTGGCACAGCACTAGTCAGAATTATGAGCGCATCAATTCCCTGAATAGCCGGAGCTATGCTGTCAGCATCCCTTATATCCCCGACATAGACATCCTCAGCTCCCCCGATTTTGTCCTTACTCTCTGGCGTCCGGACCAAACCCTTTGCAGTGAACTGGTCTGACCTCTCTTTCAGTTTCTTATAAACAATAGAACCTGCCACCACAGTTGTAGCCATGTTATCAAGTCTCAATACAAAATACTGATCATCACAGGACCACAATCCATAACCAGATGATTCTAAGAAATACTAAATAATTGGTCATCCCAAACATGAACCCACTTAACATGATCAACCCCTCAACCAAATGCTCCATCAGTTTTTCAACATCTTCAGAGGGATTCCTCAAAATTCAGCATACCAGGATCCACAAATCCAGAAAAAAATCCTACGATTCCCCTCCAATTTTAGGTTCTACTTGGAAATGCTAGCCTGAAATTCCAATAGTTTCCGTTTGTTCAATCAAAACCCAGTTCACATAACAGAGAGCGAGAGGGGAATAGAAAGGAGGGAAGGAAGGAGAAATAAAAACCAGTTCTGCCACCAGCTCCAGTGACGAGGACGGTGGGCTTGGGAGGCAGACCGGCCATAGATGCAGAGGTGACTCGTAATCTCCTCGTGAGAACCCTTGTGCTATTATTGACTTTCGTCTCCCCCGATGGAGAAGCAGTAGACAGAGAGTGAGAGAGTGCGACTGTGGAAGATTCTCGAATGCTAAAGGTGGAACGACTGGAAATGGGGAAAGGCAATAATGAGGCCACGCCTGCGAGTTTTTGATCGCGACTTTATGCAGGGGAGACCAGATTGAGACACGTCATCATCGCGGACATTGTATTCGTATCAGTTTGGTTTTACCTCCCGACTTGAATGCGCGCCCCTCTCGTAGCCGTTGAATTGCTGCGAGGTGCAGTTGGGTTGTTGGAGCGTTTGATGTTTTTTTCCTTATCCGGATGATGCGAAAAAAATCCTTAAATAGTTAACTTACATTGAGAAGAGGAAGGAAAATGCTTCTTAAGAGTGTCCATTTTGCAATTTGGAGGAGACTCAAGAGTATATATTCAGAGATAGTTAGTGGGTTAGCAGAGTTTGGCGACCAACTGAATTTCGACCACTGTTCGAGCTAGAACCTAACCTAACGGTGGGGAGTAGGATATGCGAGCTAATGGAGAAGGTGGACGATGAAATTCTAGGAAAACTAGGAATGGTTTTGTGGTCAATTTGGTACGAGCGGAACAACCAACTTTTCAACAACAAGAAAGCGGAAGAATGGGAGATTGTGGGCAGGGCAGTGGAGCTTTGGGAGGAATTCAATTCACACCACACAAAGCAGCTCAGAAGCGAAGAAGAGAAAACTCATACCTGGGAACCGGCGCCGACGGGCTGGATCAAAGTGAACGTCGACGCCGCGGTCTTGAAAGGGGAAGGAACGGGATTCGGAGCAGTGGCCCGCGATGAGAATGGGATCTTCGTGATGGTGGCGGTACGGAGGGAGCGGATCCAGTGGTCACCAGAGATAGCGGAGCTTAAAGCCATCGAATTCGGCATCAGAATGGCTGGACGGAGTGGAATTAATCACATGGTGGTGGAACGGATTGCCAGACCGCATTTCTCGCCCTAGAAAACCCATAGTCGACAAGAATAGAGAGGGAGGTCATCATTCGCGAATTGAAGGCCGAGGCGGAGAGGATAGGGAAGATTCGGTGGCGTTTTGCAAAACGTGATTGTAATACTGCAGCCCACAGTATGACCCATATTAAGTGTAATTGGGAAGCCCAGGAATGTTGGACAACCAGGCCACCTATTTTCCTCCTTCCAATTCTGGATAAGGAGCCCATTACACATTAATAAATAAGCAAATATTCCTATAAAAAATAAAAAATAACTATACTCTTCTTTCGTGACGAGCACAGGGTTTTCACACTAAGGAGGAGAAGGCTGTAGTTATATCCTTTTATCATAATTTATTCTTATCTACAGGATACAGTTGGCCAAGGTGGTTAGTGACGACATGAATGCTTAGTTTATGGCTCCGATCTCGCAGGAAGAGGTTTGGCTGCTGTTTTTAGCATCGGTATGACGCAAGCACCGAGATTTGATGGATTCACTGCTGCTTTCTACCAACGTTTCTGGCTTGATGTTGGGCAATCTATGACGGAGGTTGTCCTTTCCTTTTTTCAAACTGGACGCCTACTCCAGAGTATAAATCACATGTGGCTTGCTCTCATTCCTAAGGTGCCTAATGCTGATTCTATGAATCAATTGCGGCCTATCAGCCTCTGTCTGGTTCTGTATAAAATTATAGCTAAAATTCTTGCTTCTCGGATAAGTCTCATCCTCCCTATTATCATTAGCCCTTATCAAAATGGGTTTATTAAAGGTCGATCGATTACTAATAATGTGTTGATTGCCCAAGAAATTATGCAATTCTTAAAGACCAAGGTGCAGGGAAAGGAAAAATGGATGACATTAAAACTTGATATGGAGAAAGCGTAAGACAGAGTTGAATGGAGGTTCCTCATCTCGGTACTAGAGGCGATGGGCTTTTCTGATCGCTCGCTCCGATGGATCCAACATGTATCACAACTATGTGTTTCTCCGTGCTTATGAATGGCGTGGAGTATGGTTATTTCCGCCCTCAATGCGGTATCAGGCAAGGAGACCCCCTTTCTCCTTTACTGTTTGCTTTATACTCGAAAGCTTTTTCTGATGCCATTCTGAATACTGTTAATGCTTCTGCTATTCATGGATTACGGGTCCATAGGCTAGCTCCTATTACTTCCCATCTCTTTTTTGCGGATGTCACTTATTTGTTTCTTCGTACCTCTATTCCTGCATGTACTAACCTTATGCAGTTGTTGAGTGACTATGAAATGGTTAGTAGCCAGCATGTCAATTTGCAGAAATCGTAGTCTCACTGAGTCACAATATGTTAGATAAGGAATTGAATGCTTTGACTTCTTTTCTGGGGGTCTTTGTGATGGCCCCAGGTGACAAATACCTAGGGTTACCCTATCAAGTCCAGCGATCTAAGACTCAAACTTTCCATTTTGTTGAAGAGGTGTTAGCTAATCGAATCCGGAATTGGAAAATCAATGCTTTGTCCTTTGCAGGAAAGGAGGTTGTTATCATAGCGGTGGGTGGTTCTGCTTGGCCGGTTTACGCCATGTCCTCGTTCCGGCTGCCTTCGTGTACTTGTCATCGATGTAACAGCCTCCTTTCTCGATATTGGTGCGCAGGGCAGGATAAGGAGAGCTAGATTCATTGGCTATCATGGACAACGACTTGTCAAAGTAAGTTTCAGGGAGGACTAGGTTTCTGTGATTTTGACTGATTCAATGTTGCTTTGCTTGCTAAACAGGCTTGGCATCTCCTGCGAAATCCTGATAGTTGCCTCGCTTGAATCTACAAAGCTTGCTGCCATCAACATCACCACTTTCTCGAAGCTAAGTCGGGCTCTCGACCATCATGGACATGGCTAGGGATTTTGGAAGGGCGCGACCTACTCAACCGCGGTTTAAGATGACAGATTGAAAATGGCTCTTCGGTACGAGTTCTTGATGATCAGTGGTTGCCGACCATCCCTCCTTCTTCCCCAGTCTTACTGTAGGCTGTCAGTAGTGTTCCTCTTAGGATTTTTTTTTATTTAATTTGCTCTACCTGTCGTTGTTGGAAGCAATAAGCTATATTGGGGAGCCTCTTCCCATTTGCCACATTCAAGACCATCTTAGGAATTTCGTTGGCTGTGTACCCTTCGGAGGATCGTTTGATATGGCATTACTCCACCTTAGGCTAGTATACGGTCAAAGCAGGTTACTAGGTTCTCACAAATGAGCTCAACACTCGGGATCCCTCCTCCTGCATTGTCGTTCGATTGGAAGTTCTAGAAATTCCTATGGAGCCTCCATGTGCCGCCAAAGTTGCGGAATTTCGCGTGGCGGTATGCTCGCGACTTTATACCAATTCAAACAGTGTTTCTTTGCAAGACGCTCGTTACGTCATCGATCTGTCCTGTTTTCTCTGCTGCCGAATAAACTCCCCAACACTGTTTTATGCAATGTCTGATAGCCATAGGGGTATGACAACTTGCTGGCAAAAGAGACTATCTGCCAACTTTTAGACAGTCCAGATTATGGTAATGCATGGAAACTTCTTTTCTTCTCTATTTTATTGTCCAAATTGCAGGTCTGAAATTCTTTTTCTCTTCTTGAGGATCTGGGAAGGCAGGTGTCGTGCGGTTCATGGTGGAATTCAGTACCTACCGTCGGCTTTACATCGATAATTCAATATGCAGTTGGAGGAATGGAGGTCCTCCTCTTAGGACCCAATTCATGCACTATTTACAACTCTCACTCGGACTTAGCAAAAGAACAAGGCGGCGCATCAAGCTTCTTCGGGCGTTCTCAACTCTCGCAAGATATTGGCTGCTCTGCATCCCCCTGCTTCTATCAAGGTAAGCTTCACCGGCTGGGTACAACGTGACCGAGGAGTAGGTGTGGCTTTTGGTTGTCACAATAATTCAGACATGATATTCTTTGCCATGGGTCAGTTTTATGAAAATGTACATGATCCTTTTCTTGCAGATATTTTAGCTTTACGTGACTCCTTACAATGGTGTTTAACTCACAATTTCCTTTTTATCAATTGCCATGGTGATTCTCTCTTCATAATTCGGCGTGTGTTGGTGGCCGATACTCACCATGTCACAGGAGGAGCAATCATTGAAGACATCCGCAGGTTGGCTGGTCTTTTCGTGTTTTGTTCCTACTCCCATATTACTCGTCGAGTTAATAGAGCAGCTCATTTTGTGGCAAAAAATGCTCGCTCATCGGAATTTCGACGATTAGTCGACTTCCGCCCGTGGTTGAATGTTGTACTCTCACTATGTTTCCGGACTTCAGTCTGGGTTTGACTATTTAAAAAAAAAATCCCACAATACAACACCTTACAAAAAAGTTCAAAATACCTAAGTTTCGTGCAGTTTGCTGCAACTTAGAGCGAACCACAAAACAGTTCGCGTGTCAGGGGAGCAAACTAGGTTATTCGCGGTAAAAAAAAAGCGGATTACGAATTTGTTCGGCGGATTGATGAGAAGGTGGTTTTATTGCTAAGATTTCTGTTTATGAATTTATTGTTAAGATGTTATGAGTTGCTCTACTTTAGAAATGAGTTGGAGGTATCTATTAACTTATCTAAATTTTGTGCACTCATATTTTACACAGTATATGTCATACTTAACACATTTTTGGCTATTTTACAGTATACGTAAAAAACTTACGGTATTAAGCTTTAATTCTACGCTTTATGATTTTACCCATTTTCTGCTTCTACGTAGAATCGCGCTTTTGACTGCATTGGACTAAACTTTACGATGCTGACTTGGCTCCCACGTAACAGTTACCATATAATATTTTTAATTTTAAAAAATAAATTATTAAATAATTAAGATATTATTTAGAACTGTATCACAACGAAATTCCCAGAGAAATTTGCAAGAAGGAAAGTTAGTCTTCCTTCTGCCCCCTTCCATTCATATATATATCCATATTGTGTCATTACAACTTACAAGACAACGCCAGCTCAGGGCAGTAAATAAAACAGAACAATGAAAATGGAAAACTAAGAAATGTCGTTGTCGACCGTTGGAGATGAAGAACTTAGCTCGTGGTTCATTTCTTCTCTGTTGCTGAAAAAACTTATGTTTCTTCTGTTGTTACTGTAGAGGGAGGGAGAGAGGAGTGGCGCAAATCTTTGAGGAGGGGAGAGACGAGGAGGATGAGAGGGAGGAAGAAAACCCTAAAACTCTTCATATTGGAATTAGCAGATTCAGAATTATGCACAACAGTAGTTATGGCTAATAATTAGTATTTTCATAATTGTGACTATTATTCCCCGCTGCTTATAGTTGTGGCTAATATATTGTATTTACCAAAAAAAATT